GACTGTTACAGCTCAGTTCGGTTCTATCTGACTGTTACAGCCCAGTTCGGTTCTAACTGTTACAGCTCAGTTCGGTTCTATCTGACTGTTACAGCCCAGTTCGGTTCTAACTGTTACAGCTCAGTTCGGTTCTATCTGACTGTTACAGCCCAGTTCGGTTCTATCTGACTGTTACAGCCCAGTTCAGTTCTATCTGTTACAGCCCAATTCGGTTCTATCTGACTGTTACAGCCCAGTTCGGTTCTATCTGACTGTTTCAGCCCAGTTCGGTTCTGTCTGTTACAGCCCAGTTCGGTTCTATCTGTTACAGCCCAGTTCGTTTATGTCTGGCTGTTACAGCTCAGTTCGGTTCTATCTGACTGTTTCAGCCCAGTTCGGTTCTATCTGACTGTTACAGCTGTTCGGTTCTGTCTGACTGTTACAGCTCAGTTCGGTTCTATCTGACTGTTTCAGCCCAGTTCGGTTCTATCTGACTGTTACAGCTGTTCGGTTCTGTCTGACTGTTACAGCTCAGTTCAGTTCTATCTGGCTGTTACAGCCCAGTTCGGTTCTATCTGTTACAGCCCAGTTCGGGTCTATCTTGCTGTAACAGCTCAGTATGGTTCTATCTGGCTGTTACAGCCCAGTTCGGTTCTATCTGTTACAGCCCAGTTCGGTTCTATCTGGCTGTTACAGCCCAGTTCGGTTCTATCTGGCTGTTACAGCCCAGTTTGGTTCTATCTGACTGTTACAGCCCAGTATGGTTCTATCTGGCTGTTACAGCCCAGTTTGGTTCTATCTGACTGTTACAGCTCAGTATGGTTCTATCTGTTACAGCCCAGTTCAGTTCTATCTGGCTGTAACAGCTCAGTTTGTTTCTATCTGACTGTTACAGCCCAGTTTGGTTCTATCTGACTGTTACAGCTCAGTACGGTTCTATCTGTTACAGCCCAGTTCGGTTCTATCTGGCTGTAACAGCTCAGTATGGTTCTATCTGGCTGTTACAGCCCAGTTCGGTTCTATCTGGCTGTTACAGCCCAGTTTGGTTCTATCTGACTGTTACAGCTCAGTATGGTTCTATCTGTTACAGCCCAGTTCGGTTCTATCTGGCTGTAACAGCTCAGTATGGTTCTATCTAGCTGTTACAGCCCAGTTTGGTTCTATCTGACTGTTACAGCCCAGTATGGTTCTATCTGACTGTTACAGCCCAGTTTGGTTCTATCTGACTGTTACAGCTCAGTACGGTTCTATCTGTTACAGCCAAGTTCGGTTCTATCTGGCTGTAACAGCTCAGTATGGTTCTATCTGGCTGTTACAGCCCAGTTCGGTTCTATCTGGCTGTTACAGCCCAGTTTGGTTCTATCTGACTTTTACAGCCCAGTATGGTTCTATCTGGCTGTTACAGCCCAGTTTGGTTCTATATGACTGTTACAGCTCAGTATGGTTCTATCTGTTACAGCCCAGTTCGGTTCTATCTGGCTGTAACAGCTCAGTATGGTTCTATCTGGCTGTTACAGCCCAGTTTGGTTCTATCTGGCTGTTACAGCCCAGTATGGTTCTATCTGACTGTTACAGCCCAGTTTGGTTCTATCTGACTGTTACAGCCCAGTTTGGTTCTATCTGTTACAGCCCAGTTCGGTTCTATCTGGCTGTAACAGCTCAGTATGGTTCTATCTGACTGTTTCAGCCCAGTTCGGGTCTATCTGTTTCAGCCCAGTTCGGGTCTGTCTGGCTGTTTCAGCCCAGTTCGGGTCTATCTGTTACAACACAGTTCGGTTTCGTCTGACTGTTACAGTTTAGTTCAGTTCTGTCTGACTGTTTTAGCACACTTTGGTTATGTCTCACCCTTACAGCTCAGTCCGGTTCCCTCTGGCTGTGTTTCCAGTGAGACTGATCTAGCCTGGTTACACGGTTAAAACACAACATAGATCCTTGTTAGTTAACATTAATAATAATTTGTGTTTGCAGCCTCTCACAGCGGGGGGGCTCTCTCTCTCTCTGTCGCTATGGGCGCCCAATGTAAAAGATTAACCACAAAATAAATGTTTACTCTCATTTTTACCCTATTTTCATTAAAAATGCCTAATGAAGATGTCAAACTTAAATTTTATGTATAAATCTCTGCTGTTGCTGCTGTGTTTGAAGGATTGCTGTAGAGTCAACCACACAATGCAGGCAAATATCCACTGTTAGACTCAGGATTTATCCAGGAGGATCAACCCTGCAAAGTCCAGCTGGTTCTCCAACATAGAAGCTTTGAATCAATCTGACTGGATGATTGAACTAGAATCGTCTCTGTTAAAGTCTGTTTACATTTCATGTGCTGTAAACTGGTGCTAGAGAAACAAACTGAATTGATCTAAATGTTAAAGGACCTTTCTGAGCTTTTAACTATTTTCTGATACCCAGAGATGCTGTCAGAGCAGTAGTGCCTCCCTGACCTTTGAACAACTGAAAATGGAGAATATTTAGAGCTGCTCTGCTGCCGTGCAGCAAGAAGTTTCTGGGTTTGATTCCCGGCCCGGGGTCTTTCTGCATGGAGTTTCCATGTTCTCCCTGAGCATGCGTGGGTTCTCTCTGGGTACTCCGGTTTCCCCCCACAGTCCAAAGACATGACTGATGCGTTACTTGGTTTTTCTAAATTGTTCCTAGGTTTTATTGTGTGTGTGAATGGTTGTTTGTCCTTTTTGTCTCTGTGTTGCCCTGTGATGGACTGGAGACCTGTCCAGGGTGTGACCTCACTGTTCTCCCATAGACTGCCGGAGATAGACACCCTGATGGATTAAGTGGGAAAGATGGATGGAGAACATATACTTAAAGTCGTAGGGAAATCATATTTAAATGTCAAATCATTCTGGCTTAAATATGTATAAAAATGTAATCTTTATCAGACCATAATGTCACTAAATGTAGAAAATTGCTATTTAAAAAATAAATCCAGTCTTAAAATTTGTGTTTTTTCAATTATCTTCTGCAGGCCAGTTAGTTCTACGTCAGCCTGAACTCCTAAATTCGGCCAATCATATATCAACGGTCATCTGTCAATCAAATGTTTTCGGTCATAGCATCTTGACCAAACCAAGCTTCTGCCGCCCTGGCGTCCTCTTCCACAACATCTTCGTCCCCGCTTTCCTCCTCTAAATAAAAGAGGGATGACGGAGGAGACTCATCCACGACCTCCGACACTAAACTCTCCTCCTCTTGCATGTTTCCGCTGTCCATAGCGTTCCTTGACAGCGTCGTTTCTAAGTCACCAATTTAGTGCTACTTGGTCCCAATGGAATTTCCCATTGGGAACCTGCTAGCACTAAGATGCTAACTGGTTAGCAAGATGCGACCAACAAACCGGCCACAACCAAACATGTTTGCGAACCTTCCACCACAAAAATCCCGCCCCCTTGATAATTGACCAATCACATTCACTTTATTCACTCGTGTAAAGTCGGGCACCACTCGGGAGAATTCGGAAATGCAATGGTTGGAACAGCCGCTTCCCTACGACTTTAAGCCAAGAAACTCTATGTTAGCTCTATGTTCACAGATGTGGAAAAGACAAATTTTCCTGCTGTGGGACATGGAGGAGGCTCTGTTATGCTCTGGGCTGCTTCATCTGAATCTCTGCAGGGTCAATTGAAATCTCCAGACTGTCAGGGATGATGGAGAGAAATGTGCTGCAGTGTCGACAGTTTGGTCTTGGCAGCAGCTCAACAGGATCAGGAACCATTGATGGACTCTAAGGTTGGGAAACAATCATGAAGGGAACCATCATTTTAGTCCATAAATCATTCTATTAATGAAAATTAATATCTGACTTTTTGCTCAAAAGTCTACAGAAATGTATATGCTTGTATGCATGAGTGAGTGTTAGGGCTGAAATAAATTATTAACTAATAATAATTATTAATTGAATTATTAATTAAAACAGATTAATCAAATAATAATTTTATCATCTGCTAATTTGATAATTAAAATTAAATGGTTACCAAGAGTAACGGTACACAACCTTAAAGGAAAAGTCCGGTCAGCGAGGAATTTTGCTACCTTTGCGGTGTTTTAATGAATTTAGCATTAATTAGTAAAAAAATAAAAACTAATAATTTTCGTGGCGATCACTGAGTCTGGGAGTGGCCATTGTTGCCCAAATCTAGTAGCCCCTCCCTCCTGCCATCTTCCAGCAGTGACGTCACGGTGCGGTAAGCCTAGCGCCATTCTCCCCGCTTTCCAAGCTAAATCAATGGGAACTACTAGACACATCTGCAATCAACAACAATTATTGAAGATTTCCAGAGGACTTCACCATTGAAATTCACCAGAGCTATAGTGAAACTGACAATGCCCACGTGCATGGCAGCTGGATGCTGGAATACATCGGGGAAAAGTGAAAAAAAAGAGTTATTCCACCTTTCTGATTCCTGATCCTCCACGGACGGGTTGGTCGTTGGATCGCCAACTTGAAGAGGGAGGATTTGCCATCGAACTTCTGGCCAGAGAAAAAACCCGTAATATGTAGCCAACATTTGGAAGAAGAATGTTTTCAAGATGACTTGGATAATAGCGCGGTGTGACAAACAGCAGATACAGCACTGGGACTTGATCAACAGCCGATACCGCACCGTGACGTCACTAACCAGTAGGTGGCAGTAGTGTTCTTTGACAAACATGGATGCCTCCAGTAAAGCACATTCACATGGAAATTACTCTGAATTAAAAACACTGATCATTTATTGAACAGGATGGAATCATTCATTTATTACAGTAATTAAGATTAACAAAAATTTACAAATTTAAACTATAAACATTTTAAATATAAATTTGTTAAATTAAAGACTAATAGTTTTCAATACATTAATATAATTATATATATTTTTATCTGGAGTCCACTTATACTTTTCCGTAAAGTTTATTCTATATTTCAGATGGACGTGTGGCGTGGAGCGTCGATGCGTCTCGGTTTCCTCTCAGGCTCGGTTCTGACTGGTGGAATATTTTTTCCTGCGTTCAGTCAGCAGCCGTTCAGTCGGGCTCCCAGAGCGCTCGGCGCTGGTTGTCCTTTAAGAGCGAAGCAGAATGCCAGGGGAGCGCCCAGAGACCTGTGGAGGTCACGGCCGTCTGCTATATTTACCGGCTCTGTAACCCGATCCGTGGCATTCTGCACAGCTGCGCTCACACCGTCTTTCCTCTGGGTCCACAGTGTCCTGAGCAGCGCCCCTACTGCTTTCTCTCCGCAGACCCAACCGCTCAGAACAACAAGGGTGAGCCTTTTCAAAGCCATTGTAACCTCAGCGTTTTTCCTGCCTTTACCTCCCTGCAGGTGAACCCGCCGGGTTCCGGACTGCTGGTGGTTTGGTCTGTTTATGCGGCTCTGTAACCATCAGTCCGGCTCCAGGCTCAGGATCCAACTTTTAGACACTTCTAGGTTTTTGCTGATCAGTAGAAGAAAATGAAAACCGTTTCCTTCAGCTATGATGGTCGTTGGCTGCTGCTGCATTTTTTTTCTAACATCCTCTTCATCTGGGCAGGAAAAAAAGCTTTTAATGGACCTGATTGTTGGATTATCGTTCTAATAATCGTTCGTTCGTTTAAAGCTGAATTTATCTCCTGGAAAGTTAAGCTGCCTGCTTCATTGCTTCTCTATTTATGGGCCTGGCAGCTAATAGTTCCTCTAAATCTATATTTGTCACATGAGGAGCTTTTCTGACACGTTAGCCGTCTTCCTGCGGTTCCTCCAATTCACATCATGTCAAGTCACTTTCCAGTTCACCAGATCATCCAGTCAGATTGATTCAAAGTTTTCTATCGAAGGAAACTTATTGACTCTTCAGCAATCCCTCACACTAAGCAGGCTTGTAGCGACAGTGGAGAGGAAAAACTCCCTTTGAACAGGAAGAAACCTCCAGCAGAACCAGGCTCAGTGTGAGCGGCCATCTGCTGAGGCCCACTGGGGTTCAAGGAGACAGAAGCAGACATAGAAAAAGAAGCATAGATACAAAAGGCAACTGTCAACCAGCTCCACAGGCGGCCCCGTCCAGGAAACACACAGCCAGGCAGACGAGCTCCGAGCCAGCTCCCATGTCAGAGGATGAAGAGAGCACATCCAGTTAGTCACAGTCAGAGAAACAGGACTACACTGGAAAACAGGCCAAGCTCCAACATCTAGAAACAAAGGTGTTGATGGCAGCAGCACAGCTGATATTTCTCTCCAGGATGGAGTCACAGCCAAACAGGAACAGACCAGATGAAGCTACTATGAGAAAAAGCAGAGAGAGCAGAACGTTAGAGATTGAACTAACAGATTCTGCAGAGTGGGAGAATAGAGATAGAATGAAGCAGAATGATGAAAAAGGGGTCCCTATGTCCTCCAGCAGTCTAAGCCTATAGCAGCAGAACCTGAGCCAGTCTAACTAAGTCTGCACCAAAATCTCCGTCATCACATCAAGTCATCTAACCCCCCCCCCACACCCACACTCACACAAACACACACCCCGCACACCGAGGGACCAGCCAGAATGGGAATCTAAAAATTTGGTTTTAAATATTTTTCAGTTTCAAATATTTTTAATTTAAAAAAATATTTTTCCATTTTTAAATCTGTTTTTAAATCAATCAAATCAGGGCTTTAACATTTATTTTATGGAGTGATGAGACAAAACTTTTATTTCTGCTGTGAAAAGGTTTTTGCTCCTCTAGTAGAAATATGTAAAGTAGAATCTGCTCATCAACAGACCTTCTGTCACGCCTGGATTTTCCAGCAGGACGTTGATTTAAGAGTCCAGCTTTAAAAAGTCCAGCTTGGTCAGGAAGGTTGGATGTTTCCTAAAACCAACTGAGACGCTCATACAGCCCAGCCTGATGATGACGATGATGCCTCTGATCTTCCTCTCTCGTCTCGTGGCGTTGCTTAAAGCGGGATCCTCGGTGCTGATCGGTGTGGCGTGTTTGTTTTCACAGGGTGGAAGCGTTGGGTGGCGACCGTAGGATGAGCTGCCCCCAAAGCCACGGAGTCGGCGGCGACTGACGCACACTGCCACCTAAACAGCAGGTAACGCGCGCTTCACCCATTAACACACAGTGGAGGTTAGAAAGGTCACTGATTTTATTTGAACAGCGTCCAACGTTGGCAAAGCAAACTAACATCAGAGATCCACTGTAGCCTGTTTAGGTTAACTTCAATAAGGGCCCAAAGTGGGGTCAGAGGTTAGAGGTCAAAGGATGGCTTTCACAGTTATTGTGATGTGATCCCTGATGCGTATAAAGGGTTAAAATGAACACACAGATAAAAAATATTTTTTTTTGTCCCACTGTACGAAGGTGTTCTTTTTTGAAAAAGTGTGATTCCATCATTTATTTACTGTTTAAAACAAATAGAAATATGCTTTTTTTTAAGTTTTACCTGCTTTAGTGTAGAATGGACATTCTGACCACATATAGAAAACATGTTATGATTTTATGTTCAATGTCCATCCGGGAAGGAAGTCACGTTAATGTTGAGATTTTATATTCTATTCTATTCCCAGCCAGCTGGGAGTTTATATTTCTGATACTTTAAGATGTTTATTGCCCTCCCCTGTAGGGGGGGGTAAAATATGTTATTTAATCAGATATTATTTCAGCTGTTATATACTGTTTATGACACACGTCCTACTAGCTGTGTGTTAGAACAATAGATGAAAGAGTGATTTGAATATTTCTATTTATTTCTGCACATACATGGAATAAATTCACCACAACTTCTGTTCAAAATATAAGAGTTTATTAACAAAAATCATTTAACTCCAAGTCAAACGTATTTCAGTTTAACACTCTCAACTAAGACTAGTGAAACTCAACTAAACTAAACTACTATGTACAAAGAGGAAGGGAAACACGTTTGAAAACCATTTTACAGTTTAAGATGGATTTTATTTTTAAAACCAAAGTTTATCTGGAAGAATTTGGGATATGATCGAATTAGCTTTTCACTAATTTAGAGAAATTGGAATGTTTTCAGACCAATTCACAATGCAAATCCATGAGGTGAATAAAACATTATTTGGCCAATTGTTCCTCAGAGGGGTGTTTTTATTTTTTGTCTAAAGAAAGGGCAGGAATGCTGGTGAAGATTCTCAGTCATCCAGGTAATAGTCAATCCCAAAAAACAAAACAAAAAACAATATGGCTAAACACAGAAGAGCGCCCTCCTCTGGACAAGACTGCGCTACATCTACACCTTGTGGACAAAGGACATTCTTTGGAGGACCAGAATGTTCACATTTTGGACAAAGAAGACGGGTGGTTTGAGAGGAGCGTGAAGGAAGCCATCTATGTTAAGAAAGAAAAACCAACCTTAAACAGAGGGGGGGGGGGCTCAGATTTCAGCTTTCAAAAACCTCCAATGCAGCAATAGAGTTGATTCCCTTCCGCTATCACTTCCCTTCCCTCTAACGACCCCCCCTTTCAGAGACATAGACAGGTATGGGGCATTGCAGGCTAACAAATTCTGAATTGAAAAAGCTTCCTGGATGGGAAGAGAAACGTCTTCAAACTTGGAAACAAAGTCCAGTGGATTGATTTTTTTAACTTTTTTGGAACGACTATGACCTGGATGACTGAGAATCTTCACCAACATACTCACATCTGTTAGCCTGGGTGCCAGTCAGAACTTAGTCCCGCCCACAAGGTTTGAGTTCGGGGAAGTTCGGTCTGGCTCTGCTCCATAGTAGCGCGAGTATTATCGCCCACTGTCAGGCGATCCAATCAAATTGTCAGGGCGGGCTTTATACGATGATGGACAGATGATCAAGAGTAACGCAATCAACCACGTGACCAAAGCGCACTTCGGTGACAACAATAATGGCTGCCGCCGGAGAGTTTGGGTGAGTAGATTCTGCTATTAGGTCTGTTCTAGAAGATATCGACAGCAAATTAATTTTAAAAGAGGAACAGAGAAACGCGATCAAGTCTCATCTTCTTATTCTAGGTGTGAAACTGCACGCTTTGATTTTTGTTGACAACAACTATGCCTCGCTTAACATACGTCACGCACTCCGTTGCTCTTATTGGTTGTAGGTCTATCCAATTGAGTGCAGAGGCATTTTTTTTCCTGGTTCGTTAAAACACGCCCCATAATCACAGCTCTATGGAGCAGCATCAGACTCATATTCTGACTAGAATTGAGTCAGACTACGTCAGGCTACACATCTGTAGCCTGGTGAGACCATCCTGATCTCGCGAGCTTTCAAGGTTTCACTCGCTAATCAGTCTGGAGACTCTCCGTTAAAGAAAATTTGGAGCCGTTCACCAAACGAACGTCCAATCAGCGTTGGCTTTGAGGCGGGTTGAGGTGTGACGCAACGAGAAGCGCGACAGTTCAGTCTAAAGAACATGGCGGCTTCAGCCGATGAAACTAGCGTTAGCGTGGCTATCGAGCAAGTTTTATCGGAATTACAGAGTATTTCTTCACTGAAAGAAGAGCAAAACACTGCTCTGGAGGCTTTTCCCAGAGGAAAAGATGTTTTTGCTCTTCTCCTGCCTAGTTTTGGCAAGAGTAGCCTCGCTTGTGGTTGTGTTTTCGTCGTCGCTCTGTTAGTACGTCATATGCTTCGTTGATCTGATTGGTTTATTTGGCCCGTCTATCACCAACATAGGCCAATCAGCTAACCAGTATTTTCGCCCCTTCCCAAAATTACTTCAACAGAAGGTTTCCAGATGGATATGCGAAGCTAATCCATCTGGCGGAGTCAGGTTACATCATCTGAGTTCTGGTATCAAACTATGAACTTTTAGGTCTAAGGATAGTTAGACCTTAGTTTGACTCATACTAACGTTTGTTTAGCAATAGCATAAACCATAGTGACGTCATGCTGAGACATTAAGCTCCAAATAAACACAGAACACTGATAGAAAAAAAAACATCAGAAAAAAAGTTTCTTAAAAATATATAAACATTTTATAAGAATAAAACCACATTTAATCAGTTAATTTTTCTTATCTGTTGAAGTTTTATTAACCTAGAAGTTCATAGCTTTAACTTTTTCATGAAAATAATTAATTTTCAAAAAGAATACATCCAAAGTCCAGTGGATTATTTTTTTACTTTTTTGGAAGGGCAGGAATGCAGCGAACGCTCTGGAGTTCGGTAGGATTTTAAAACCACGGATTACATCTTTCTTGCACAGAAAAACAAACCCAGTCAGGGCGAGAGTTGGTTAGCACAACTCAGCCGGAATGTGTAAGCTGTTGTTTCCATGGTGACATGTCCTTTCAACTGTAAAACCTATAAACTATAAGGTGCATCAAGTGTGTCCATCTCCCAGTTCACTGGGATTAAGCAGACAGACTAACCCAAAGTAGAGGAAGAATAATACTTTCAAAAAAAGCTTCACGGAAAGAAAGAACTGGCTTGACTTTTTTTTAACTCTTACTTTACACTGATACCCCAAAATAAGATTTATTAAACTAAATCGCCTCCTCAGAGGTCACCTAATTGTAAAGAGAATCCAGCTGTGTGAGTTCATTTCATAAACTCCTTTTCCTGTATTCAGATATTCAGATTTTTTTTTTCTCTTCCTGGATAATTTTGCTATGATTGCGTAGTTTTCATTGGTTTTCATTATGTTTCACTCACCTGTGGCGAGTTTACAGTAGTAGCCATTCAGATTTTCCCCACTTTCCTTGATGGTCCCTGGCTGGTCCTTGGCTGGTCTTTTGCTGGTCCCTGGCTGTTCCCTGGCTGGTCCTTGGCTGGTCCTCGGCTGGTCCTTGGCTGGTCCCTGGCTGGTCTCTGGCTGGTCCTTGGCTGGTCCCTAGCTATTCCTTGGCTGATCCTTGGTTGGTCCCTGGCTGGTCCTTGGCTGGTCCCTGGCTATTCCTTGGCTAATCCTTGGTTGGTCCCTGGCTGGTCCCTGGCTGGTCCTTGGCTGGTCTCTGGCTGGTCCTTGGCTGGTCTTTTGCTGGTTCCTGGCTGGTCCTTGGCTGGTCCTTGGCTGGTCCTTGGCTGGTCCCTGGCTGGTCTCTGGCTGGTCCTTGGCTGGTCCCTAGCTATTCCTTGGCTGATCCTTGGTTGGTCCCTGGCTGGTCCTTTGCTGGTCCCTGGCTATTCCTTGGCTAATCCTTGGTTGGTCGCTGGCTGGTCCCTGGCTGGTCCTTGGCTGGTCCCTAGCTGGTCCTTGGCTGGTCCTTGGCTGGTCTTTTGCTGGTTCCTGGCTGGTCCTTGGCTGGTCCTTGGCTGGTCCTTGGCTGGTCCCTGGCTGGTCCTTGGCTGGTCCTTGGCTGGTCCTTGGCTGGTCCCTGGCTGGTCCCTGGCTGGTCCTTGGCTGGTCCTTGGCTGGTCCTTGGCTGGTCCTTGGCTGGTCCCTGGCTGGTCTCTGGCTGGTCCTTGGCTGGTCCCTAGCTATTCCTTGGCTGATCCTTGGTTGGTCCCTGGCTGGTCCTTGGCTGGTCCCTGGCTATTCCTTGGCTGATCCTTGGTTGGTCCCTGGCTGGTCCCTGGCTGGTCCTTGGCTGGTCCCTGGCTGGTCCTTGGCTGGTCCTTGGCTGGTCTCTGGCTGGTCCTTGGCTGGTCTTTTGCTGGTTCCTGGCTGGTCCTTGGCTGATCCTTGGTTGGTCCATGGCTGGTCCCTGGCTGGTCCTTGGCTGGTCCCTGGCTGGTCCTTGGCTGGTCCTTGGCTGGTCTCTGGCTGGTCCTTGGCTGGTCTTTTGCTGGTTCCTGGCTGGTCCTTGGCTGGTCCTTGGCTGGTCCCTGGCTGGTCCTTGGCTGGTCTTTGGCTGGTCCTTGGCTGGTCCCTGGCTGGTCCCTGGCTGGTCTTTTGCTGGTTCCTGGCTGGTCCTTGCCTGGTCCTTGGCTGGTTCCTGGCTATTCCTTGGCTGGTCCCTCGCTGGTCCTTTGCTGGTCCCTGGCTGGTCCTTTGCTGGTTCCTGGCTGGTCCTTTGCTGGTTCCTGGCTGGTCCTTGGCTGGTCCTTGGCTGGTCCCTGGCTGGTCCCTAGCTGGTTCCTGGCTGGACCTTTGCTGGTCCTTGCTTGGTCCCAGGCTGATCCTTGGTTGGTCCCTGGCTGGTCCTTGGTTGGTCCCTGGCTATTACTTGGCTGGCCCTTGGTTGGTCCCAGGCTGATCCTTGGTTGGTCCCTGGCTATTCCTTGGCTGGTACCTGGCTGGTCCCTGGCTATTGCTCTGCTGGTCCTTGGCTGGTCCCTGGCTATTCCTTGGTTGGTCCCTGGCTATTCCTTGGCTGGTGCCTGGCTGGTCTCTGGCTGGTCCCTGGCTATTCCTTGGCTGATCCTTGGCTGGTCCCTGGCTGGTCCTTGGCTGGTCCCTGGCTGGTCTCTGGCTGATCCCTGGCTGGTCCCTGGCTATTCCTTGGCTGGTCCCTGGCTGGTCCTTGGCTGGTCCCTGGCTGGTCTCTGGTTGGTCCCTGGCTATTCCTTGGCTGATCCTTGGCTGGTCCCTGGCTGGTCCTTGGCTGGTCCCTGGCTGGTCTCTGGCTGATCCCTGGCTGGTCCCTGGCTATTCCTTGGCTGATCCTTGGCTGGTTCCTGGCTATTCCTTGGCTGGTCCCTCGCTGGTCCTTTGCTGGTTCCTGGCTGGTCCTTTGCTTGTTCCTGGCTGGTCCTTTGCTGGTTCCTGGCTGGTCCTTTGCTGGTTCCTGGCTGGTCCTTGGCTGGTCCTTGGCTGGTCCCTGGCTGGTCCCTGCCTGGTCCTTGGCTGGTTCCTGGCTATTCCTTGGCTGGTCCCTCGCTGGTCCTTTGCTGGTTCCTGGCTGGTCCTTTGCTTGTTCCTGGCTGGTCCTTTGCTGGTTCCTGGCTGGTCCTTTGCTGGTCCTTGGCTGGTCCTTGGCTGGTCCCTGGCTGGCCCCTAGCTGGTTCCTGGCTGGACCTTTGCTGGTCCTTGCTTGGTCCCAGGCTGATCCTTGGTTGGTCCCTGGCTGGTCCTTGGTTGGTCCCTGGCTATTACTTGGCTGGCCCTTGGTTGGTCCCAGGCTGATCCTTGGCTGGTCCCTGGCTATTCCTTGGTTGGTCCCTAGCTATTCCTGGGCTGGTTCTTGGCTGGTTCTTGGTTGGTTCTCAGCTGGTCCCTGGCTGGCCCCTAGCTGGTTCCTGGCTGGACCTTTGCTGGTCCTTGCTTGGTCCCAGGCTGAACCTTGGTTGGTCCCTGGCTGGTCCTTGGCTGGTCCCTGGCTGGTCCCTGCCTGGTCCTTGGCTGGTTCCTGGCTATTCCTTGGCTGGTCCCTCGCTGGTCCTTTGCTGGTTCCTGGCTGGTCCTTTGCTTGTTCCTGGCTGGTCCTTTGCTGGTTCCTGGCTGGTCCTTTGCTGGTCCTTGGCTGGTCCCTGGCTGGCCCCTAGCTGGTTCCTGGCTGGACCTTTGCTGGTCCTTGCTTGGTCCCAGGCTGATCCTTGGTTGGTCCCTGGCTGGTCTCTGGCTGATCCCTGGCTGGTCCCTGGCTATTCCTTGGCTGATCCTTGGCTGGTTCCTGGCTATTCCTTGGCTGGTCCCTCGCTGGTCCTTTGCTTGTTCCTGGCTGGTCCTTTGCTGGTTCCTGGCTGGTCCTTTGCTGGTTCCTGGCTGGTCCTTGGCTGGTCCTTGGCTGGTCCCTGGCTGGTCCCTGCCTGGTCCTTGGCTGGTTCCTGGCTATTCCTTGGCTGGTCCCTCGCTGGTCCTTTGCTGGTTCCTGGCTGGTCCTTTGCTTGTTCCTGGCTGGTCCTTTGCTGGTTCCTGGCTGGTCCTTTGCTGGTCCTTGGCTGGTCCCTGGCTGGCCCCTAGCTGGTTCCTGGCTGGACCTTTGCTGGTCCTTGCTTGGTCCCAGGCTGATCCTTGGTTGGTCCCTGGCTGGTCCTTGGCTGGTCCTTGGTTGGTCCCTGGCTATTACTTGGCTGGCCCTTGGTTGGTCCCAGGCTGATCCTTGGCTGGTCCCTGGCTATTCCTTGGTTGGTCCCTAGCTATTCCTGGGCTGGTTCTTGGCTGGTTCTTGGTTGGTTCTCAGCTGGTCCTTGGTTGGTCCTAGGCTGGTCCCTGGCTATTCCTTGGTTGGTCCCTAGCTACTCCTGGGCTGGTTCTTGGCTGGTTCTTGGTTGGTTCTCAGCTGGTCCTTGGTTGGTCCTAGGCTGGTCCCTGGCTATTCTTTGGTTGGTCCCTAGCTATTTTGTTTTTATTTTTACAAAATACCTAAAATATGGCTGTTCTCTGAGAAGGTGCTTTTTTTCCCACATCATTATTAATTATTTTATCTTTTTAGATCTTTCCCTTCATGTCCCTCATACTGTAGCCAGTTGATATGATAGAATAGAATACAATTCAACTTTATTGTCATTCCACTGTCACAAGTACAGAGCAACAAAATAAATTCTCTGCATGCCGCCACTCCCTGTAGCCAGTTAACCCCCCCACCCCCACCTCTCCAGCGGGTGGTCATCCGTCTCTGTCACCGTTATTTTTGGGGTTGCAGGCTGATAAGTTGTGTTGTTCTTCGTAGCTGTCAGGTTCTCTGTTACACAGCCCTAATTTAGGAACCGTGCTGTTCGGCTTCCATTGCAATAACGGGTTTTCATGTTAAGCTGGACGTCAACTTTGTCCTCTCAGGTAACAGTCGGGTAATGCCAAACTCTGAGTCCATGTATGTTTTTTTTCTTTTCTGCGTCAGACCATAATAACTCTGCTGGACTACAGATGAAAACTCTACATATGTGCATCAGCTGGCTCTGCTCCATAGGCTCAATTATTGATGAAACCTTTGGTCACAGAAAAAATAGGCCGAGAGCGACCAGAACAAGTGGAAAAAGAGAGATGGAAAGGAAGGCCAATGTTACGAGGCGAGGAAGGGAGAGCAGAGAGGAAAGGAGGCGGTAAAAGAGAGAAGAAGAGATCAGGGTGCAGAGAGCAAGGATAAAGAAATAGGAGCCCAGCTGGATCAGCAGCATCAGATGCTTTTATTTATTTAGTTGCTGCTGCACATGTGAACTGGAGCCTCTCTGAGCCTCTGCTGCCACAGGGACACACTGTGCTGCCAGCGATGACCCCCCCACCGCCTCACAGGCTCCACCTGTAAGGATCGCTTGGAGATGGAGAGGAAAACCTGCAGCTTCTCCTTATCTCTGCTTTAAGCTTAGCGCAGGGGTAACCAATTAAAGATCAGCCAAATAAAGAAAATCTACAACCAGTAAAAGTCTGGAGAAATTTTTAATTATAATCCATTACTCTAACCCTATAATGCCAAACTTTTCGTATTTGATACATACGGTTTCTGAAATGTTTTGCGTCTGACACCTTTTGCACAATTTAATGGTAAAAACTTTGCTCAAAATCCTATTGTACACAATCAGATATACCTGATAACAGAGGGCAGAAGACTACACAAAAAATAATCTTGACTTATCGCATAGTAATAAATTATTAATATCAAAAATGTATTTCTGTTTTTTTTTTTACATATTTTATTAAAAGGCCAAATAAGGAATTCAAACCAAAAAAAAGTAATTTTCTGTTTTGTTTTATTCTTGGATCGGGCTTTAAAAGGTTAAACAGAATTTAACACTGAAATAAAATAAGGTGTTTATGCACCCAGGTTATGCATTGAATTTTTAAATTAAAAAAAATATAAACTTTTTTTTTCCATTTTAAAATCTAAAGTGTTTTTTGAAGTAGGGAGCAACAATCATTCGGGTTGGTATATAGACAATTTCCTGACTCACATATTTTATAAAACACCTGAACTGACCGTAGGGAAATCATATTTAAATGTCAAATCATTCTGGCCTAAACATGTATATATATAACTGTACTCTTTATCAGACCATATTGTCCTAAAATTTAGAAAATTTTTATTAAAATCATTTTTTCCCGTTATCTTATGCAGGTTAGTTATTCGTCAGCCTGAACATCTAAATTCGTCCAATCATATATCAACGGTCATCTGTCAATCAAAATTTTTCAGTCATAGCATCTTGAGTCATATGTCGCAGCTAATATACCCAACGGTTGATTTCAGAAATCAGAATCATTTCCCGTTGAGTTCCGTCCCAGTGTTCACGGGGATGGACGTCTGTGTCTTCGGCATTCAGGAATCAGAAAGGTGGAATAACTCTTTTTTTCACTTTTACCCGATGTATTCCAGCATCCAGCTGCCATGCATGTGGGCATTGTCAGTTTCACTATAGCTCTGGTGAATTTCAATGGTGAAGTCCTCTGGAAATCTTCAATAATTGTTGTTGATTGCAGATGTGTCTAGTAGTTCCCATTGATTTAGCTTGTAAAGCGGGGAGAATGGCGCTAGGCTTACCGCACCGTGACGTCACTGCTGGAAGATGGCAGGAGGGAGGGGCTACTATATTTGGGCAAAAATGGCCGCTCCCAGACTCGAAGATCGCGATGAAAATTGTTTGTATTTTTTTACTGATAAACGCTAAATTCATTAAATCACCGCAAACGTATTAGTTTTAGGTATAAATAATGATCCATTAAATATTCTTTGCTGACTGAACTTTTCCTTTAAAACCTACATTTAGGCTCTAATGATTAGGAATGCTAAAGGCCCACGCTGTAACGGCCTTTTCGGTATTTAACACTAAATCAGTTAAAAAGTCTGAAAACTTATCAACAAATTGCCTAAAGGCCACAGCTGGACTCGTCTCTCTGATTGGATGACCTCTGAAGGTAACCGTAGGGCTCTTGCAGGACTACGCCTGCATGCCTGCTGCTCTGTTGAACTGATGAACGATGTTTGTGTCTCTTTGCTGTCTCCAGTCAATGCAGTCTTCCAGAGGCACTCCCCCCCCTGTGGCCTGGAAAGCAGCAGCATGTCCCGCATCTCCTCCACCCCCAAACGCTATGCAGGCTCCTCCTACACCAGCCACTACAGCTCCTACGGCTCCTCCGTGACCCCGGGCCTTAGCTCCTACGGCGAGCGGGACCGACTGTCCTCCTACAAGTCTCCGACCTCCTCATCCTCCTCAGGATACACATCCAGCTACCTGAGCAGCTCCACCTTCCGCGACCGTAACTACAGTGCCTCCTCAGAGCCTGACAGAGACCGGGGCCGAACCATCCCACGTACCGACATCCTCGGGAGCAGCAGCAGCTACAGACGGAGCGAGAGCCTCAGCCGAACCCCCGCCAGGAGCTATGGAGCTGCAGGGCTGAGCGGGGGGTCGGCCTACTCAGGCTACAGCTATACTTCGTCCTTAGCCCCGTCCAGCTACCTCGCTTCTTCACCGGCAGCCTCCAGCATCTCACTGAACAGAAGAAAATCTGTTTCCCAGAGTGACCTGAGCAGAGACTTGTCCTCTCTGAGCCTCAGCAATGCTTCCTCCTCCACCCCGTCCTCCTCCACCAGTGCCCTGCAGAGCTACCGCAGTCGTACTAAGGAGGAGGCGGGGTCGTACGACGCAGGCTCCAGACCGGGCTGCTCCAACCTGCCTCGGAGTTCCACCCAGGAGGCCTTCAGCAGCAGCAGCAGAGTTATCAGCTCCTCCCTATGGGAACCCAGCAGCAGCAGCCTGTCCGACAGCGCGAGCAGAAAGCCCACAGTAAGTCTTCTTTCTTCTTCTGCTCCTAAAACATTGATGCAGGCTGAGAGTTGGCATCACTGATCTCTATTTATTCACTGAATAGCTGATTGCCCCTTGGAAGTACGGCTTGAAGTGAAGCCTTCGGCCAACATATTCTGTTTTAGACAAGAAAAGAAGATTAGATATAGGTCTATAATTGACCAAATCGTCTGGGTCAAGAGACGGTTTCTCAAGCAGAGGTTTAATTCCAGCAACCTTAAAAGCCTTAGGTACATGTTCCTGTTACAGAGATAGATTAATCACATCTAAAATGGAGGAGGAGATCAAAGGGAATACCTCCTTAAATAACCTGGTTGGAACTGGATCTAACATCCAAGTTGAAGGCTTAGATGAAGACAATAGTTTTGCTAACTCAGAAAGTTCAACTGGATCAAAGCAGTCTAAACCCGGTTCAGATTCCATGACTACCTCAGGTAGAATGGACGGTTCAACAGAGCTATGGCTCTGGGTGAGTTTGGCAACGGGATTAAAAATAAATCTAGGATTATTCTTATTCTCCTCTATTAATGAGGAGAAGTATGCTGCTCTTGCTTTACAAAGGGTCCTCTTATACAGCATTAAACCATTTTTCCAGACTAGGAAGGACTCCCGCAGGCCTGTGGAACGATATTTTCTCTCCAGTTTCCTAGCCTTTTGCTTCAAAGTGCGCAGCTCTGCATTAAACCAAGGAGCAAGCTTTCTATTTGTAATGGTTTTCATTTTCAAAGGAGCTGCGTTGTCTAAGGCAATACGCAGAGAACTAGCAACCCCATCAACAAAATCATCAACCTGTGAAGGGGAATAAGCTAAGCTTTTGCACTCTGCAGCACTGCTCAGCGACACAGAGAAGAGAGAAACAGATTCTTTAAAATGTATAACTGCACTATCTGATAATGATCTAATAAAATTGAACCTTCTTTTGGGGGAGGAGAACTCTGTTAAAGTAATCCTGAAGGTTATTAGAAAGTGGTCAGAGAGGACAGGGTTGTGAGGAAATACTGTTATTTCTTCACATTCTATGCCGTATGTCAGCACAAGATCCAAAGTATGAAGATGAGAATGTGTGGGACTATTAACATTTTGAACAAAGCCAATAGTGTCTAAGATAGCATTAAAGGCTGCTCTTAAGCTATCGCCTTCAATGTCAGCATGGATGTTAAAATCTCCCACTATGATGACCCTGTCAGTATTTAATACCAAATCAGAAAGGAACTCTGAAAACTCATCTAAAAATTCAGAGTAAGGACCTGGTGGACGATACAAAGTTACAAAAAGAAGAGGTTTTCTTGCCTTGAAATTTGGATCAGGGAAATTAAGGGTTAAATGATCAAAGAGTTGTAGGTATTAACTGTTTTGGGAGTAATCAGTAAGTCAGACTGGAAGATTGTTGCTACTCCTCCTCCTCGCCCAGAACTTCTGGGGATGTGAAAATTTAAATAGCTTGAAGGAGTTGCCTCATTTATGCTCACATAATCCTCTTGCTGCAGCCAGGTTTCTGTAAGGCAACATAAGTCAATGTGATTATCACAAATCAAGTCATTAACTAGCAGACTTTTAGAGGAAAGAGATCTTATGTTAAACAGACCACATTTAACTGTTTTAACTTTTTCCCCAATTGGAGTTATTTTAATTTGAATTAGATTATCATGATTTCCTCCTTTGGGAATCTTTGCTAATTTATTAGATTTTGGTCGTGGGCAAGACACTGTCTGGATGGAGTAAAGAGTGGGTAACAGTAGAGAAGCTGCAGAGATGTCTGTTAAACTACAGCTCTGCTTCCTGGTCTGCACCCTGGGTGGTCAGGGTTTTGGAGGACTAATAAATTTGACCAGATTCCTGGAAAGAAGAGCTGCACCATCCAGAGTGATGCTATGAAACACATTGGCTGTTTAATAGCATCAGTAGATTAACTTTAACTTAGAATAAAAATCGGCCCATCACATTGCATAGTCATTATGAAGTCAATTAAGTCTATAAATCATGTAATTTAACATATTATACAAGTCCATCACAATAAAATTAATGTGTCAATGGAGCAGAAAAAATACAGATGAGCCAGAAGTGCTAAATTGATGATGTACATGTAATATATATGTATTTATTTACATTGTTATGGTAATTACATCTGATAATTTGAAAAAACTATACATCACAAGCACACACATATTACCACACACACACACACATATATATATATATATATATATATATATATATATATATATATATATATATATATATATATATATATATGTATATATATATATATGTATATATGTATATATATATGTATGTGTATGTATTTTTCCCTCATAATAGCATGGAATATATTTCAACTCATGACTTTCAAATAAGAAATGCAACAAACACTAAAAAAACGACAGCATCATCCACATAATTCACAGTGAATTACTTTCTATTTTCTCTACTTTCTATTTTCTAACGTTAGAGCCAATGTCAGTGTCTAACTCAGTCAATGTCTTCCAGTCAGTCTGAGATAGTCAGACTAATGTTAGTCTGCAGACTAATGTTAGTCTGCAGACTAAACTATAGGATCTATCGGCCTGATGTGACATTTGTTTACACATTTTTTACTGAGGGCTTATTCTCTGTAAATACAACTCAAAGCACTGTTAGCTGTAGTTCCTGACCACATGGGGGCACTGTTGGTCAATGACTCAATCCTTTCCTCTGTGGGCATCAAACATGTTCATTTTTTTTTTGTAATTTTCTACAAATGTTTTGATCTTTTAACTATTCAGTGTCTGCAAGTAACTCCAGCTCCCACTGAGAGGCAGACGATCTCCTAGAAACTACATTTGATGTCACCTTAAAGTCATAAAATAGGGAGATATAGGCTCTGGTCCGGTTCATGGGCTGCACCCTCCAAGGACGCGGTCTAACAGGTCTGGATCCTTCCAAGTCCGTCAAAATAAGGAGACCGGAAGAGTTTTAGCTGTGAATTCAAACAGGTCTACCCTTCAGCGGCTTTTACTGCCGTATGCTCTGTCGCCTAGCAACCGTTACTGTTGACACACAAAGCAGGAAAAGAATGAATACTGAACTTTTCAAAACTTTTTCTTTTTTTTATGTTTATTTTACTTTTTTACTCTAAAGTGAACAGAGGCCGTTTCTCAATATGCGTTCTTGAGCGTTCTCGTGTGCTCGTGTACTCGTGAAACGTCATCAGCCTCAGCCCGAGTACCGTTCCAATTCTCAAGAACGCCAGATCGAGAACGCATATAATCCCCGGATGTTGTTCTCACCCCGCCCTCTTTATCGAGCATGCATCAGAGCAGACTTGTGCATTCTTCAGACTGACCGCTTCCCCAGAATGCACCGCGGCCGCAGCTTGATTCCAGACAGCGCTCACAGTGGTAAGTTAAACATTCCCTTTTCTGCTGCTGTTGTTCTTCAAAAGTACGTTTTGAACTCGTTTGAGGCGATAACATTATACATTGAAGCCTCCCTGTGTGGTCTGTTTACAGAGTTAGTGCGAAATTTAAAAAAAAAGTCCGACGTTGAGCGGACCAGAGTGACCAGCAGACCTCCGAGGGTAACCGCAGCCAGGGCCAAATTTACCCCGTCTGTAGTGCACTTCTCTCGGTCTAGTTATGTGTGAACTACCGCTCCTTCTGATGGCGGTTTTTTGCGGTTCGGTAATTTTTTTTAATGTTTTTTAAGCTTTAGAAATTAAAAGTATTGTTTTCAACATGTTTTGTGTAGGGAATAAATAGTTTTGACTGTTAAAGAAATGCTAAACAACGTTGCATGTGATGACGTCACGAGTACGCTTCTGCTCCAATACACATACGTGCTTGCGTGCTCGCGTTCTCGTCAAGTCCGCTCTTCCTGCGTTCTTATGGCAAGCCAAGAAGGTCATATTTCGCATTGAATTCTCGCGTTAAGAATGAAGTTAACCCGCAAAAAACGCGCGTTCTCCCGAGATTACGCCGCTTTTTACGCCGTCTTTTACCAACAAGCGCCGCCTTTTACGCGCGTCATGATAGTACCGCAAGACGCGCGTATTCAACGCGCGTTGTGTCGGTCAGAACGCGCGTTAAATACGCGCGTTGTGGCTTGCCATAGCGCCGCCTTTTACGCGCGTCATGATAGAACCGCAAGACGCGCGTTGAATACGCGCGTTTTACTAATATGATAATGATGTTCTTCCTTCTTTTCCTACAGCCAATGCATTTGAACTGGTTGCATCCAATGGCTGATCAAGGCAGCCAGACCAAGAAAGTTCATCACAGATCTGCTTTGTGGAAAACTGCACAGAGCTCAATGTTGCAGCATTGCCAGAATTCACTGCATTGCCGTTTCACAAAGGAATAAATCCACTACATACACTTTGCTGTTATTTTGAATCCATTCCATGCCTATTTTCATGTAAAAACGTTTTGCATCAACATACATCGCCAACTAATGTTTTGTATTTACAGGTATTAGTAGGAATGTTTCACCAACTATCACCACCGAGAGGTGGCGTGGTGGCTTAAGTGACCTCCTTCAATGCAAACGTTTTGCTTCGTGGCAGGTTCGAGTCCGACTTTTCCCTTTATATTCTGTCTTGTCTCCAACCAAGCCCATTTATTTATTTATTTTTTTTCTGAGAATATAATCATAAATGTAGCCTACTTCACTGTTTTTGATCCATCGCCATGCATTCTGTCATGTAAAAACATTTTATATTGTACTAATAAAATGACAATAAAGGGGACACTTGTCTTCCAGAAAATGTGTCGGTCTGACTTGTTTTCTGAATATTTTCCTGCATATCACCAACCTTTTTCCATAATGCTTTCTACAGCCATGGAGCAACTGCTGTTAAAATTAAATTAACAGGAAGATTTCTTATTAAAAGTGTTATTAGTGCAATGAGAAAAAACTTGCTTAGTTGAGCCAGTGGAGGTTTGATGATCCCCATAGCTCATGTTCTCTGTCTCATACATATACATACATACACATATATATAT